TCAAAAGTATAACCGGTTAGGGAAAGGTGTCTTCTTTCCTAACTCACTCAAAGACGGTACTCACAATAAACAACTCCGATTAAAATAGACACTCGCACTAGTGCTCTATGCCTGTAAACAATGAAGCTTACCTTTTTGAAAACCAATTCGAGAAATTCTGTAAGTAAATATTTATTTTTTCGAAATTTATTTTAATACATTATTTTTAAAGTACACGATAAGTTAATAATTTTATAATAAAAAACTTATGATCTTGCTGAACCACACGCACATATGTATATACTATACATTATACTACCTCACGCAAAGAAAAACCGGTTCTCCTTATATGAATTATGCGAATTATAAAATTCGGTTAATGTAATAACTTTCATCAAAATGAATTAGAATGTAAATTAACTCCTCGAAGAAGATGTTGCTTTCGTTAGATTATTTAAAAAATTTCTTGAATCAGTTTTCAGTTTTTAAGAAAAATGTGCTCGTATAGTTATTTAGTTCGAAAAAGTTTGCATCAACGCCAAAGGAATTTTTCCAGCGAAATAAATGATGAAAAACTCTTTTCTTAAAATTTCAATTAATCAATCAATTAAGCATTGTAAAGAAACGCTTTATTTTAATCTGTAGGGCCATTTATTATTTGCGTAGCTCACTATTACAATACAACCAATAAGTCTATATTTTCCTCCATACAATATCGACCCGCCTACTAAATATGTATGTATATTTATTTGTAAGAAAGAATTTCTTAATAAATGTTATGGTAGAAGATTATAATCTATTTTTGTTAGCACATTTATACATATCATACATACATACATACATACATACGTAAATATCCATTAAGCTACAATAATACAAACATACCTACTAGTATATGTATATGTGCTCAAGGCTCATAATAATATGTATATGTAACATACATACAAATATATGTAAATATATTTCCTCTTAATGCATTCGCAGCATACAAATTCGTTGTACAAACAAGCTATATTACGTTGAAAAATGTTGTCCTTAACCATAGAGATTTCATTGAATATTCTTTAACAAATAATGTACATATATACATATAGATTGTCCTCCGCAATAACGACACAATTCAAAATTCCAAAAAAAAACTGTTAGTACGGTTCAGTGGCTCATGCCAAGTATACATGTAAGTGATTTTTAATTTTTTTTTTTTTTTAATTCTGTCGTTATTGCAGAGGACCATCGATATGCATGTTTTCTAGAGTTTAAGTTTTATAAAATGTTTTCTTAATTTGTTTTCATTTTAATACTTATTTAGATACATACATACGTATATGAAAAATATTCAGTTACACTCACAGATGATCGGCAAAGAAGATATACATATTGTCTATGTATTTATAAAACTGTAATGATCAAAGCATTTCGGAATTTCTTAATGCTAAATTTGTTTCGATGAAATTTGTAAGCGCTTCGCAATACATCCGGGCTAAGACGAAAATTTTGCACACAGAAGGCGAATTTCACACACTAACAAAATATGTATGTATATGTATTTCGTTGCAAGAGTTGAAGATGTTTAAAAAGTTAAATATTTGCTGTTGCCATAAAGATGTTTATGCCCGGAGCAAACAGTTATTTGGTTATACAAATTTAGTTTTTAACACAGCAGTTGGCTTCATCGTTTCAAAGTTGTTCGTATTTATCAAAAAAAAAAACACTAATCGAACATATACAGTTCCTTCGTGGAGCCAGTGTAAATATAATACATACATATACTACTTAGAATTTAAATTATAACCGAATTCAGCTTACAGTGGACTTTTTTGAGATTAGCATGTAGGTAAAGAGAGAAAGGAGGAAAGATTCTCAAATATTTTAATTTATACAGAGCCTTAACTTTGTTAATCACCCCTTCTTATCTAGCTACCAATTAAAAGAAAACAAAGTTTTTTCTGAGAATATGTCTAATATGAATCAATACTATTATTACTAATATTATCTACATACTTATTTCTCAAAGGTTTTTTCAGAGAGAGAGAGAGTTCATCTTGGAAAAATTAGTCACGTTTTTTCTTCTGGAATTAGTATCCGGTCAACCCAGCTACATATCTTCCACACATTTATGCCTATATACATACATACATATGTATATGTATATGGGAAAATCTCACAAGTGGTTAAATTTTCGTCAAAAAAATTCCAGAAAATTTTCTAAATATATCTACATATAAACTAATTAACAATTTTGAAATTTTGATGAAAATTTTTCGAATTTGGATAAATTTTTTTTTTAATTTTTTTGAAGCTTTGAAATTGTTTTCTCTGAGTTCTGTATGAAATTAAGAAAAAAGTATCAAAATGTCTGACATACGTGTAAAAATTTACACATTATTTAAAAATAATTTAAAAGCCTAAAAATACATATCGAGCCCTAACCGCCAAAATAACGTAAGCGGCATTTTTTTCAAATTTTTCTTTTTGATGCAGAAATATTCCTAGAGCATCTAAATGCTTTTCTGCATCAAAAAGAAAATTTTGAAAAAAATGTCGCTTACGTTATTTTGGCGGTTAGGGCTCGATATATTGTAACCACTACCAGAACACTTTGCGCAGCTTTCAACAGGAGTTGATCTGCCGTCATTTCTTAATTTAATTATATATACGTACAAATGCTAGTCTTGTTTTAAAAAAAACACTTAGAATAAAAAGTAATTTACTAACGGCCGTTTTCTCAAGTAACCTGTTTAAATTGGTTTACAACCAAGAAACATACATAGGTCATAAACCGATAATAGCAATGCTTAACTTTGGACATAGTTAGCTTCACTTTTAACCCAACCTTTAAATATATAGTGAGCTTTCAACTTATAAAAGTTACTTCAGAAAACGGCCCTAAAGGTATATACATTTAGTGCAAACTATTTTATAATTATATATTTACATGTTCTGCTTGCCTAATTTTACAATTAATATTTAGCGGTTGTCATTGAACCGCTGTAATTGTTGTCAGCTCCATTGAAATGGGATTTTCGGTCAACGCCATCGATTCGGTGAGAGCACCTCGAACGCCAGCACCATTACCGTTGTGCAATAACTTCAAATCGCCTTTGCCGGATATTTCGGTATGTTTTCGTCTTCGACACGCCTGTGCACTCCCTGTCGTATGACCATTAAGAGCAACATTAGTGTTTTCATTAGAACGACATAATAATTCTGTAAATTCTTTACGGAAATTGTCATTCAGCCATCCATAGAGCAAGGGATTCGTGCAGGCCGAACTCATGCCGAACATATGACAGAACGCATAGGCGATTAGCATACTCTCCGTCACCGCTACCGGACTACGCATATCTGCATATAAATTGAAAAGATTTAAGGGCATCCATGAAATGCCGAAAATTAGCGCAATTGTGATTAGCAAGCAATTTGTACGTTGCATACGTCGTCCACGTTCGGCTTTACGTTGTGGCGTTTGCATTGCCACAACAGTGGTGCGACTCTGCAGTTTCCTATAAATGCCAAGATACGCACCGGAAACTATAACTATCGGCACCAAGTATTGCACACATAGTGAAAATATTGAATAGTAGAAACGTCCGTTGCTAAGTGGCCAATCTTCCACACAAAAACAAACACCATGGATGCCCAGTGCTTGCAGCAGTGGCGGAATTTCTGCTTCCTCCAGCTGCTTGTAGATGAAGAGTGGGCTAGCCAATAGCACAGCCAGTAGCCAGATGCAGGCGAGTATGCTGATGACACCGCCTACTTGAAGACTCTCCCGCGTTGGATACACAATCAGCTGAAACGAGAAAAAGTGAAGGCACGTTTTGATTTGTTATATTTTCAGTTTTTCTAAAGCCAAGTCGCCACTAGGCGTGGAAATAAAAAAAAAAATTGTTTGACGCGAATATTTGTTTATGTCCAAAATTGTCAATAAAATGCGTGTATTTAGAAAATATATGTACGTTAATATAGAAATTTACATTTGAGGGATTCATAACGGTGTTGTAAGTATTGTATTGTTGTATATCGTAAACTTTAAAAGCTTAAATAAACATTTAGTGAACTTGAAACCACAACCAACTATTTTTTAACACTTGGGTATTTCTACGCGTCACGAATGTGACAGTCGTAGGTTTCAATGAGATACATAAGTTTCAAACAGAAGTTACGTATTTTTATCTTCAGGAAATTTGTAAAAACATGTATGCCTAATTTAAAAAATGCTTTTTTTCGGAAATCACAAGACCCTACGTCGTGATTTTATTTGTCTTTATGACATGATGATGAAATATTAATGCCTATTTATGTAGATTTTTTCATCACCAAATTTGGTTGAGATCGGTAGAGTAGTAGTAGTTTCTCTAAAACCCACTTTTTTGCTAAAGAGCGATTGTATATGGGTAAGGCTTTCTCAAGTGGACCCTAAATTTACCAATATTAATAAAAAAAAAAAAAATTCCAAAACACTGCAAAAATTTTCAATTGTTGATTTAAAAAAAAAACTATTTGGAATTTTGCAGCAAAATTTACACAGCGTACTTTTCAACTACAAAACTCGGCGCTACCCGAATATCATTGAAAAATATTAATCTTGATAAATTCGGGGCCCACCTGAGGAAGCCTTTCCTATATATAAATTTTGAATAAACATTGATGAATTCCTTAGCCACACTGCTCAAAAAAAAAATCTGAAAGTCCGGTTCATAAACAACATAAGTTCTATGTCATATCTAAGAAAAGTCGTGGCCACCTTGCACTAGGCTATCTAAAAATGAAATTCGGACTTTGTCTAATAATGGCGATATGTATTGGCATTTGTACTTTTTCGATACACATGTATGTATATAATTGCCCCTGCCTGTGAAATTCGAACAATTTAATGAAATATTTAACACTACGTTCTTTTAAAACGAAATAAACCAAACATATTTGATTCTATCTCTATGTCAGACATTTCCACTTTGATATGACTTATTAATATGAAGTGAAAGTAATAAAACTTCACTAAGTTGTATGTTAGTATGTACATATGTTTACAATATGTAAATATGTACACATGTATGTATATAAATATCTACACCCACCTGATATCTGTCAAAGGCTATGGCTGTTATTGAAATCGTCGATACGAAAATGCTCACCGCTTGCAACATTGCAACCAATTTGCAGAAAAATTCAAACATTCCGAAAGGCCAGTACTTGGAGAGGATTTCAACTAAAGTTATTGGCATCGTTATAACGCATAACAATAAATCTGAAAGAGGAGTAAGAGAAAATTCGAAATAAAATAAGTTTTTAATACATGCATATATGTATGTATGTATATGAAGTTATTTGTGTACAGAGAGGAAAACCCCCAGAAAGTCGAACGAAAATTCAAGAATAAATTTGGAGATTTAAAGAACAAACGTATTGCAAAACATTAATTCTTACCAACTAAGATTGGTTAAAGCCATTTATTTTTATGCAAAAGTCTGGCAAAAATTTTTATTAAGTTAGTGCGAAAAGCACTTAAATTAAAACAAACAAAATATAAAAAGGAATAGGGAAAAAACACACACGTCTAATAGCATTCAACTCAGGAAATTCCTTAGTACTCACTTACCGGAAATTGCCAGATTCAATATGAACAAATTGCGCGCAGTACGCATTATTGGCTTTCTCGCAACGGCTATTACAACGAGTATATTGCCAACGGTGCCGCATATAATCATTGTTACATATATGCTTATCAGTGTGTAGTGCCACTGGTCGCTAACAGCACGATTTCGTGTGAATCTGTCAACAAGGCTTCTACCCTGCGCACTGAACAAGCTCATATTCGATTGTGAGCTTAAATTGCCGAAATTCACCTCTAGGTAATCACTAATGGAAGCCGTATCCACTGACTCGGCGGTCACATTTGAATTGGTATTCAACATATTCACCAATGGAGCGGCCGAGGGAACGCTGGCACTTAGCGTTTGCTCTGTATGGGTCATCTTGATTATCTGCAATGACAGGAAAATCGGGGAAAATATATAGAATGCTTTTTTATAATGCGGCATAAAAGAAAAAAAACAGGTCATATGTGTAATAGGCAAGCCGAGAAGGAGGTGTCAGCGGAGTTAGTTGAGCCGGGCCTGGCAAAGGATATACAAGAGAAAAAAATTTAACAAATTTTCCAAAATGCAAAAATGATTAAACAAAAAACTTATATTGAACTAAGTTTTGTTGTTGTACTATATTCGATTTATTCGTTATTCGAAAAATCAGGCTTTCAAAAAAAAAACGCGTATGGAGCGCGTTGAGAGCTTTTTCACTGCATGTAGAGACTATCTTTACCTTTTTTGCGCAACTGTTGAGGGATTTCATGCTAATTCATTAAAAAAAAAGTACCCTTCGTTTTTAGTTCAGCAAAAATTCCAAAGCAAGAAATTGTTTACATGACATTAGAGCTCATAGCGAGGAAAAAAATTTCGTAGAAAATTCAGTAAAGCATATCATTAAAGCGAATTTTCGGAAAGACTGTGGCACTAATTCAATTTAATTTTCGATGCAACTGAATTTGTTTAATAAAAATTTTAGAAAAAAGCATTTCAATTTTACAATAATTTGCAGGTAAGAACCATTGACAACGTAAGGGTATGAACAAAATCAGGAGCGCAACGGTGTTGTTTTTCTGCGAATGGAGTTACAGTTCCACGGCTATACTGCATCGTCGTTCGCGCACTCTGGGCATCATGAGCAATCCATGTGCGAGATGCGCTAGCCGATCCGAGTGGAGCCTTGGGTCACGGCAGAAAGAGAGGCAGTTTCGATGGGGCCGCGCCGACTTATGTGGCTCAAGGGCTCAGTGAAGTGTGCGGCTCGCTATATAAACGTGTATTCGCTTGGGAAACCGCGCTCCTTCACAGCAATGGGTTGTGCGCTGAGTTTGGGACCCGTCACGTCAAAACCACTTCAAGTGAAACATAATAACCAAGCCTCGGATGAGACCCCCTTTTGATGATGACCTTGGCACACATTTAAAGGACTACGATTTGAGGCTACGCACCTGAAATATCCGGACTATTAATAGAAAAGGTGACTCTGGCCGGCGTTAGACGGGGTAAGACAAAGTAAGCGTGGAGTCTTGCGATGTCTACTACAGCAGCCACGTAAATATGAGCGCTGCCACTGTCAGGATATCAAAATCGGCCTTGGCAATTTCAATGCCAAGGTGGGCAAGGAATGGATCTTTGGCGCCACTGACGGAAAATTCAACTTCATCGTCCGATAATGGATGCAAGCATTTCAATTCCAAATGGCAGTGTGGGCGGACACACTTATCATCTTGGTAAAACCGAAACCTACATAAAATCTCTGCCGTTCCTTGGGTCCCGGCTCCCGGTTGAAATGCAACTCCACATTGAACCAGTTATTTAGTCTAAACTTAATTTTCGTAACTTAATATAACTTAATATTTTGGCCAACCGGTTACATGAGAAACTGTGTTGGCGGTTAGTGAAAACTTAACTTACCGTAAGAAACTTAGGAGCCTGTTGGTTTAAGATTCTTAAGTTACGAAAAATTAGAGCGGTGGGAGAGTCAGGCTTGCCAGATTTTCGTTTTTGCATTTCTCAAAAATTAATTAACGCGATCATATTTTTCTGCATGAATTTGTTTGATGTGTTATTTTAGACGGTAAACTGTCAAACAGCTGAAAAACAAACAAAAATAACTGAGCTTTAAGGTAACTTTTCGTAAAGAATTTTGCCATTTGACAGCACACATATATAAAGAGACGCAAGAAGTTTCCTTAAGTATGTATGTACATATTTTTCACAAATTGTCTCACTTATTTACATACATATGTAAGTATGTATGTATGTACTCGTACTTTACTTGTGGATCCTGTATCCGTTTCATATCTAAATATATGCTAACTCAGAAAAGAACTTTTTTTTATTAAATTCAAACTCTACACAGGTTTCAAGCAATTTCCGCTGCGAATGCCGCACAGCGAAAGTAATTTCATTTCACAGATAGAGGATAACATTAAATGCGTATGGTGTGTAGATCTAAAGACTATAACTATTTTTTGTATAAACATTAGGGTGGCCCAAAAATGCATGTGAAAAGTATACAAATTTAGTATAAAAATATGGTTTTTGATTACAAAATCAAAAAATATGGGAACATTTTTTCGGTATAGAATAAGAATGCTCACAACGTACGCATATTCATGTATATATATTTTTTCCGTTTTCAATAAATTATGTCGATATTTATTGTATGCCATTAAAAAAAAAAATAATAAATTTTTTCATGACAAAAATAGCATGCGATATTTTTCGTTGTTCGTAGTTGTTGGCCGGGCATTACATTTTCTTAACCTCTTTCTCCATCGAGTTTTAAGGACTCAGTGGACAGTTTATTATAACTGCTTCGGACTAGTCAAGAGATCTTCCAGTCCTAACCAGTTTATCAGCCTTCTCGTTACCGTATATGTTTTTTTTTTTTTATAGCCAGACAGCTGGGGTAGTGAGCCTTCTATTTAATCGCCGACTAGTTAAGAATTTGCAGTCCCACCTCGAAGGCAACTTTAACAGATTTTGTTTTTCAAAATTACCTCATTAGCTGATTATTTTCCTTATTCTACCACTCCGCTTCGCATAAAGGAGCATAGTCTAGAAATATTTAACAACAAGAAAACGGAGAAAGCGGTGAAGCAAATACAGCTGCGGCTCCTTTGAAAAATTAAAATAAGCATTAAATTCCTTATCGCCTATGACATTTCCGTTGAAGTTTGGGCTGAAAATGAGTTAACATTTATTCCATGTCTTATCAAACATATTTCCTTTTCCTACTTTTTTCGCCCAACTACGCTTTATTTACTTGACAGCAGACAGACATCTTAGTTTTTTTTTCGCAAATAACTGCATTGCTGGTAAAGACATTAGTAAACCATGATTTCATTTAATCTCTTTCGTGCCTGCCATTTGTTTAAGTCACGTATGTGTACATATTTGCTTTTCATTTATTCACGCACATTGCATGTCAATATACCCGTATATAACAACAACCACCATAAATGTACTTAATGTATGCGGTATAAAATATTTGATTCCCTCTGAGTGGATGTTGACGCATAAATGTTTGAATGTATGCATCTACACATGTATGTATGTACATTGATACATATACAATATCTACAAAAAAAAAGTACAAACATCAACGTAAAGCTAAAAAGCCGTTTCTGCTCAAAAGGCTATAAGCACTTCAAGGAACATGCAATGGCAATAGGCGTTGACTGGTTTATACGCGCTTAACAATTAAGGGGAGTAAGAAAAAATCCGCTTAGTTCATAAATGCATGCGCCACTCTGGTAAACCCGCAGCAAAAAGTGCAGCTCAAATGTGTGTTCTTACTAGGAATTATATATGTAGATATGTATATGCACTTCTCAAGTGTGACATAAAAAAATTTGTTAAAGTAACAAGTTGATGGCACCTCAAATCATGCTCAACTAGGTTGACGAATATTGTTAAAAGCTTCCGCCAGTCGCTTCAAAGTTCGCATAATCAATAGTTATTATTTTGCTTAAAGTTTAATCCAACGTGTGGTTAAATGGCGTATGAGTAACATTATTTCCTGCTCATATACATATACATATGTACATATATTATTTTTTCCAAAACTTATTAACAGCAAAAAAACGACAAATTCATGGGTATATGCGACAATATTTTCTTCATGTTGTTTTGCTAAGATTACACACATCAGTTTCACTTCGAAAATAACGCAGGTCTGCGAAATTTTAATTTTGTTTCTCCGCCTCCAATAATTATGTTATTTTTTTTTTGTTTTAATAATTAAAATGCATCTTTGGTTTTTTCTAGCACGTCGATATTTTTTTGTTAATGACATGTACATTTTAGGATTTTCAGCAATTTGCATGAAAAGCAAAAAAATTAATTAATTCACAATTAAATTTTTACCTAAAAACCAACATTATTAGTTAAAAATATATGCATTGGTTTAGCATACATCTCTATTCATACTGCATATTTATCTCTGGCAGTGTTTATGGTAGAGTGTTGCAGCTTGACATAGAGACATTTACGGATATGAAATCAATTCCACTCATAACGAAAACAAGCTGGATTTTTCATACGTGGTCATTAGAGTGGTCCAAAAAAATTAAGTTGGAATTTTAATGCCGGCACCC